GCCGGAGCGGCGGCGATTCCGACAGCCGGAGCGGCGGCGATTCCGACAGCCGGAGCTGCGGCGATGACGGCACCGCTGCTGTAGGCCGGGGCGTACGAGGACCCGTAGGCCAGTCCGGCGGGTGCGGCGTAACCGGCGGCCAATCCGACGGGAGCCGCGGCGTAACCGCTGGACAACAGGCCGGCGGAAGCGGCGTAGCCGGAAGCCAAACCGGACGACAGGACCGCACCGGAACCGTATTCCTCGCCGATGCTGCGTTTTTCCGGTTTCTGCGGCGTCTTGTCGGCCCGGGCGAGGGCTACGACGGCCAGAGCGACGACTAAAGCTGACGTCTGCGAAAAGAAAACGATAACGTTACAGTAACGGGTTCCGAGGATCGTTCCGAGCGCTGCGGAATAAGAGTGTTTTTTTTTTTTTTTTCTTCTCCTATTCCGCGGATACGCGACGTCGCATTGCTGCAAGACGATAGCGCCGCTATCGGACCGCTCGGAACGATTCGCTATCGGGTTTCGGCTATCCGCCGGTGCATACTTACGAATTTCATGTTGGCTGTTTGTTCCGCGGTACTCGATCGAATGGTGACGTTTGGAGAACCGAGTCGGCTATATATACACTGCACCCCGTACCGCACGCGCATTACGGGTAGGTAAATATCCGCGACAATAACCAGTTTAAGTGGCGACCAGTACGACCGCGGACGACCGCGACCGGTGTGTTGTGTCATCGTCGACCGCGTGTGTGAAGCGCGCGCGAACGGACGACGATCAGGCGGCAGGAAATAATGAATACGCGAAACCAGAATGTGACAATGACAACGATAATTGATCGTACGTACCACCCGTTCAGCTCCGACGTAACGTACACGATATTCGGTGTACACTCGCCCAAAGCGGACGGCGTGGACGAGTGCGGTTATGCAACGGGGCACCCCGATCTCCGGCTGCGCTCGCATCGCGTACGGTACAACGGTGTGTTGATACAGGATCGCGCAACCGTTTGTCTTCGGCGTCGAACTTTTCGGTTTTCCGCGGGTTTTTTAATTTGTTCACGTGCATTCCAAAAAACATCGAGCAGCTGCCGACGACTCGGCAGCCGATCGTCCGTCCAGCCGTTTAGACGAGAGAAACGTAAGCATTGTGCGCGCCCAAACTCCGGCTGGTCCTGGTAACAATCTCGTTCCTCCGACCCGCAGCTACTTTTCCGTACGACCATACCGGCCGTCGTTATAAATGGCGTTCCGACACGGTATAGGGATCCGCGTGTCCGTTTGTCTACACGATTGCGCGGGCCCGCGGTAAAATGAGTGCCGAAAACAGAACCCTTTGGGGCCAGGACGATTCTCCGACCGAGACAACGGATCCTCGGCTTATTCGCAGTCGGTTCTGAACATGTTTCTGTGTAGGGGCAACGTGCGCGGTGGTAGACTCAACAACGATGTTTAAATGGTGGAACTTACACGTAAGACTGTGGTTCACCCGAGAAGTTTGTGCGCAAAAGGGCTTACCGTTTAGTCTTCTGCGCTGTATTTACATTGATTACTGATGTGGTAGTTATAAGTTTAATTTCATCAACATACTCTACGATTATTATTGTAACGTACGTTAGGAAATGTTTTTTTTTTCTCGTGATTCCTGAATTTTCAAAAAAATATTCCCATAATGATACTTGCAATCATACTTATTAATTAGGCATAGCTCCAGAGGGGGCCACGCCTAAGAGTTCCCTTTAATAAAACTATTTTTTCTCAATTCTATCGATATGTTAAAATATCACTACATAAATTGGCAACTATATAAGTAAACGTAATTGCTTCATAAAGAAGTCTTTCGAATCTAAGAAGAGTAAACATAACTTCGTTTAAGAATGATTGAAGATAGGCCGTTCAATTTATGTTTAATAAATACACATAGAGAAATCGATGTGTATAATTACATATATGACATTTTTGATACTTTTGCTAAGTCAGTCTAAAAATAGACGCTTAAAGTTTGTTATTTAAAATGTGTTTTTTTTTTAAAGTTTTCTTCTAGGGAATTTTTCCTCCCTCCACAAAAATAAAAATAAAAAATAGGTCCCTTGAGCCGCGTCTATTATGAATGCATTATTTACTTCCGTCGAGCCAACGAAACAAAATCAAAACCATTGTTATATTATTTTGCATTCGCTGTCTAATCGATTTTCTAACGACTTCGTACCATACCAATGAATAAGTATCAAGTGCCACTAAGACCTAACAGCTAACAGCTCACTTCGTACTAAGTATAACCTCATTCGAATACGGCGAGGAACAGAAACCCCGTAATACAAGTGTAATATTGTTTTTAAGATACTCGTATTTATGCATTGATTTTCTTTTGTAATATTTTTATATTCATAAACCAAAATCAATAAAATTTGCGGACCTATTATTTCTAAATGATACCAATAGCGCACACAAATGGTACGAAAATAGGTTTAATAATACGTTTAGGCGTATAATTATTGTTTAGCAGTTCAACTACATTACCGTAGACAAAAATAATAATACGTTTGGACTTCAGTAATAACATGCACGTACACTACCATACCAGTTACCGCGATGTTACGAAACGTAACTTTAAAATAATCTACACTTCACCTAACAATTCGATTGGATATAATTCACGATATTTCTTCACCGTTTCGGTAAGATAAAACGCGTACACGGATTTCGATTTTCCTAAATCGAAAATTTTAATGTCTATTGCACTGCAAGCTCGCAACACGAAAATATAAAATATACTTAGGTACCAACCAATTAAGTAAAAAATAAATGCAATATAAACTTGTTGTTCATTCGTTCAGTTATTCGACACTAGTAGATAACTAATCTGCATTCATAATATTATCACATGGGTATTTGGTGTATAATATTATGTTTTTCGGTCCGGTAAATCGGACAAAATCGGTATTGCATTCGAACTCACCTATTATTAAGATGACTAATGTTTGCTGTGCAATTTAAACTTTATTCACAGAGTCAATATAGTTTTGATCGGTAAAAAAAATTAAATTTAAATTTAAAATCATTAGTTACGCCTTATGTTTTAATGTCATAATGCTTTATGTGTTAGTTATGTCTAACCTTGTTTTATAGGCTACTGATTTCATACTTGTAAGACATCATTGAAGCTCATCTAAATAATCCAAACAACACATATTTGAAAAATGTCTAATAACTTTGCATAATATACGTGATACTGTTGATGCATAATAAATATTACTATCGACACGAAATATTATGTAAGCTAACCGTGTTGTTAAGAAGTCCACCGTCTAAAAGTATTGCCCATCATCAAGTATCCATAATTCCGTGACAACAGGATTACCCTGCATACAATTATTTTATACCTGTTTATTTTATTTGTACTCATGCCGAATATGAAATTAAACAATCGTGTGTTTTTTTTTTTTTTTTTTAATAGTTTCTTAATGATAACATTTTATTTATTTAACTGGTTTTGTTTTGCCATGTATGTATAATACATATTGAATATAACGATTTGATACATTTTGTTTTTTTTTTTTTTTTTTGCTGTAAATTTGGCACGTTGCATTATAACGACATACATAATTTGTACATGAAATACATAATAATACAATCCGTAAACATATTTAAACGCGCATCTATTATTTCTGCAAAGACAGGTATATTACCTAGACGTTTCGTGCACTGTTATAGTTTCTCGGATAAAACGTTTCGATATTGGTACAAACACGATGTAACCATTCACTGAACTTCCGAGTTCTTTCTACTTGTATTGCAACGGAAGCGTTCGATTATGGCATTACGAACACGAGGTATTGTTCCGCACATTCACGCGGATAACAACTATTCTACTCGAAGATTCTAGTCGGAATTATTTTTTTCGCCTCGGAGAGCTTTGCCGTTGAACAAATTAACAAATCACTGAAAATTCAGGGGAAACCGGGACTGGTAGCGATTAAAAGCGAAAATCACTGAAGCACCCACATGTTCTGTCGAAAAATGTACGGACGCGATAGAATCACGCGTTTCGGACGAGTACAGAAAAACCTAGTGTGAAATCAAACGATCGGCCTGGACCGGCGCAGCGCGCGGGAAATAAAACGGATGTTTTTTTTAACGTCCGAGCGATTGATCGTACGAACGCGTGTGCCGCGTGTCCGAAAACCGTTTCAGAAACGTCTCGTACTATGCGGTAAAAAAAACCACCGTCGAGTTGCGCAAAGTAAAATGTTCCGCGTTCCGAAACGGGTTTACGCGCGCGGCTCCGCTACGTCTTAGCGCGGATCGGACACGTGAACGTTGCGAGTCCCCCGCGGACGTGAACGCCGAGCGGACCGTAACGCGTTGACATTTCGGCCGGTGTGACGGACTGTTGAGCCAGCGCACGCGGTTTCGTAACGTGTGGAGACGTCCGTGGGATTCCGGAACCGCGGACACAATGACGCCGGCGGACGGACGAGTAAACGATCGGGACGATGCGCGGCGGGAGGTACGGCGATTTCCATATTTTCGTTCGGCCACCGGTTCGGCGCGCGCATCCGTTCGGTCCGCACGCGGAACGGTCGGCCGTCGTTGCGTAATCGTTTTTTAATCGTTTCGTACCGTTTTTTTTTTTTTACGACCGCGTTACGGGGACAATGTCTCCGCGCGGCGCTTCCGTCGGAATGCGTTCGCAACCCGTTCCGCGATGTCGGCACCGTCCGGACGCAAACGATTGCGTGCGTGCCGAGCGGAAGACGGAACGCATGGTGTTGCGCGGATCCGTCCGATCCGAACACCGCTGCGTGACCACCCTAACGTGTTCCTTAAGGACACCGCGTCCATTCGCGTCCTCTTCGCAGCCGACCATCGACCGTCGTTTCAAATGCGTTTTGTTTCGGACTCGAAGCGAGTTCTCGGAGACGTGTTTCTATTGCGAGACGTGTTTTTTTTTTCCCGGCTCCGACGGGGAGAAGAAAACCCCCGAGAAATAACAATTTTTTATTATAAATATTAAATCTACGCGAGAAGATTGAATAACGTTTTACAATTATGTAGTTTTCAGGTTTTTATTTTGAACGCGTGAAATTGCGATTTCCAAGACTTGATATTTGAATATATTACACGTAACGTTGATCCTTTTCTATAGTTTCTTAATCATTTTTTTTATACATAATTTAAAGATTTACATTTCGTTGACGTTTAACATTGGAAATTTCGCTTATAATTATTTTAAATTAGTTTTATAAGTTATTTACGTATGGTTAAGAATTGACATTTTAATGTATGAAATGATTACCAAGGCTCGGGAGTGAAAGCATTTGTTTATTTTTATTCGTTGACTTAAAATGTAGCAGAGTGCTGTATAAGTGTATGTCAAGCTATAACACGTACAATTATGAATTTTAAAAGTGCCTTTTTTTGCTTTTTTCAGCAATTTTTCAAAAAAATGCTTATTTCCAGTTTTTCTGATTATTCTTGCTTATTTGACCAGTATTGTTTACGTTTTTATAGTTTTATCCTGCAAAGTCGTTTTTGATAGAATTAAAAATAAAAATAATTCTTATCTTATCTACGTTGTCACGTAGTTCGTCACTGTCCGAGGCATCGTTTTAGGGCTAACAAAGATTTCAGAAAAATCCCTTAGAAAATTCATAAA